AGTAATTTTCATGCTTCATTCTGAATTGAAAAACATTCTAAAAACTTGGGTATGAGTTATGTTTATCTACATTTTTCAGGAAATACGAACTCCATCAGCACTGCCCGTTCTTCCTTTTTGGTAGCCTGTGCCATAATGCAAGATCATGGTGACTCCCTAGTCCATGCTGAAGCCATTTCTTGCCTTCAGCAGTTACACATGTTTGCTCCACGTCACGTTAATCTATCAACCCTTGTACCTACCCTTTGTGTGAGTACAGTTGTTATTACTATTTTCATTGTTGTTTTCTCTTTTGAATTAAAATTACACTTTTAATAATTAATGATGTAAATTTGTTTTCAAAAAGATGATAACTTCTGACAGTTTTTTTCCTATCATATCTTACATTAAATAAAAAAAAAGGACTAATGGATACTTATTTGCTTTTTAAGAAGTACATCTGGCCATTATTTTCTTTGTGTGTGTTGTTATTCTGTATTCTTAGGTGCATCATTTAAGTAAATAAAAATTATTTAGTGTACTAGTACCATTAGTATAAATAAAGTAGGCTTAAATTTCATTGGCAACCAACAGCAAAAAACTATAAGGCAAAGGTAAGTACAATATTTTTTTTTTATCTTGTATATTATTTATTTATTGATATAAAAGATAGATTAGGTAAGATGATAAATAATAATAATAATAAAAGTTCTTCAAGAAGTATGCTTGCAAGCAGCTCATGCATTACAATATTGAATAAGGTAACATTTGCTGAGTGAGTTACAACTTGTGTGGCAGGATTATTAGTTAGACACAGTGCAAAGGGCAATAAAACAATGTTAAGTATAAACAGATGTATACTGTTACAAGTCTTAAGCTATTTGAGGTAAACAAATATAGGTTCCTGTTACAATCTTTAATTATTCCAGAAAGAAAAATAGGGAATTTAGATTAATTTTGTATTTTTATGTAGGAGTTACAAGGTCAGTCAAATTGACCGAGTCCATGTAGAGTTAGGGTAGAGAAAATAACTTATAACATCAAAAATTTTACTGGAAAAAAGTTTGATATCTATGTAGGGGGTTATAGAGGTTACATGAATGAAATTTGAAAATGTTCAAAGTTTTTTAATACTAACATGAAAATCACCTTGCACTTGGACCTGTAAACATTCTGACTCCATATATTCATGGACAAATCTTTATTGAAAAACCTGTTGTTTTTTATGTACAAAAGACTTTTAATATTCACTGAATGATTACCAAATTTTGTGAAGATACAAAGCTATAGTATGGAAGCTTTGATGGTTACTTTGAGGTTACAAGGTCAGTCACGTCGACAGTCTCCTTATGGAAAGTGTATAGACTTGTAACCTAATTGATTGGAGTGTGTTAAACGTTTGTTAATGCTTGAGAGATAGCTAGGTTTGTTATAAGGTTTATTTGTAGTGGTTTATAAGTTCTTAAATATGTGTTACCAAGAAAGGTAACTTATACTGAAACATATTATTCACATGAAATTCTTTTTTTTTTCCACCAGTGTGTATTATACTCTTCCCATCTTCTGTTAAGAAGAGCAGCAGTAGCCTGCTTAAGACAGCTGTCCCAGAGAGAGGCTAAGGAAGTGTGTGAACATGCTCTTTCCTGGGCTAGAGAATCGGGTGGCACCACAACTGGCTACAACTCTAATATCAGCATTCCTGCAATAGGAGAGACTGGGCTACCTGGTGTACTCTTTGCCATGCTGGACGTAGAGAATGACCTGAGGCTAGTAGGTCACATCAAGGACACACTTACCAGCATGTTACAGGCACTAGCGAGGGAGAACCTAGTTCAGTGGTTGAGTTTATGTAAAGATGTTCTTACTGCTGCTGGTAAGCCTGTTTATCAAGTATACATAGAAAACTGTCCTGTATGTTTCATAGTTCATGATAAATATAAGTAGCCACTCTAGTTAGAAACAAACCTGTCTGAATGATGAAAAATCACTAATTTATTTACCATCTTATTTAATTTGTGTATTTATATATATATATATATTTCTCGTTATTTATTCATATTATACTCATGTAAAGAACAGACACTACAAGATATCTTTATTTTTCCATTGGTCTTATCCTCTCCTGTTTTCACCTGAACTCAAATGGAAATATTTTACACTAATAATCTGCAGTAAAACTACTCTTTCCTAAAGTTTAATATTAATGTGTTTTCCAAATAATTATTGATGTGTCATACTGTATTCTCACTGTTGTGTCCATTTTTAACTTCTTAGCTATCGGAGTAAGTTTTAGCTTATTGGTTTTTATAAAACTTATTTGGTTAATTTTTTTCTCGTTTAAGATTCTAGTTCATCCAGCATATCATCTTTGAAAGAAGCTGAGAGAGAATTAGGAGATAATGAAGCAGATGTAGATGACGAGGAGAGATTTAAAGCTTCAGAAGAGCCAGTATCGCATCCTTTTGTCTCTCCTCGTTGGCCCACTAGAGTGTTTTCTGCCATTTCTTTGAGGAGGATTATTGAAGCATGTGATGGCAATCGAGCTCATTTTGATTTAGCCATGGCAAGGGAACAGAAATTGATTAGACCAAAAGGTACTGAAATTTAGATGATAAAATCTAGATTATAGAAGAAAATGAAGCTCAAGATGTTATTTTAATAATTAAAATTGAAGTTAATGATCATATTGTTTGTTTGTTTTTCTTTTTTGTTATAACTGGATAAAATAAACTTAGAAACTAATGTTTGATGTGTGAAAATCATCTAATGGTATACCATGAATAAAATGTTTTACTTAGTTAATGATACTTAGAAAACTAACATTATCTGTGTGAAATTCACATAAGTATAAATAGAAGAGCTTATTAGTTTTAGGTGTCATTTACTAAGTAAAACAACTTTTCTATTTAGACCTTTACTTGAATTTCACACATCAAATGTTAGTTTTCTAAGTATCATTTACTAAGTAACACAGCTCTTCTATTTATACTTATGTGAATTTCACACATCAAATGTTAGTTTTCTAAGTATCATTTACTAAGTAACACTTTGCTTCTAAAAACTTGAGTGAAAACAAAGAAGAGTGTATAATAATGTGTCATCCACACTACTTATCACATCCAGTGCTGACAAAACTTATCACTCGTACCTGGATTTATCAGGCCTAAATAAATGCTTGAATGGGCAAAGGAAATATCAGAAAAGAATTGTAAAAAAATGTTGACCTTATGATTAAGAATTAAAAACAATGGCTATAATTTTGGTATCGTAAAGATATTTTTATTGTAAGTCAGTGATCATAAGCATGGTTAAGCTGTGTGGGTTGCTTTTGAGTCCAAACCCCGACAGAATTTATAGCTTCATTAAATAAAATTTATTGGAAAGCCTTACAAGAACTTAAGAAGACATAAAAATCAATGATTTAAATATACAACATAGACAAGCATTTTTAATTGTTTCTTAAAAAAACATTATGCAAAGAATTTTTTTTTGAATATCCAAAGCTGAGAATTCATACAGATGTCACATATAGAAATAAAATATTTTAAAGAAGTTAGATAATCAGAAAAATGCTCATCTTAAGTTTTAATCAATTGCATCTAGTAGTTTGTTTTTGTAATGCAATAAAATCATGTAATGAGTGCATCAAACTGATACCTCTGGGCATTTAAGGATTAAGCATTTGTTATTGTTTCTATCGTATATGAACATAGTTTATATTGTTAAGGTTGTTGATATTGTTTCTATCATATATGAACATAGTTTATATTGTTAAGGTTGTTGATATTGTTTCTATCGTATATGAACATAGTTTATATTGTTAAGGTTGTTGATATTGTTTCTATCGTATATGAACATAGTTTATATTGTTAAGGTTGTTGATATTGTTTCTATCGTATATGAACATAGTTTATATTGTTAAGGTTGTTGATATTGTTTTGATGGTATTTTTAATATAGATTATATATTTTTTCACCCTACTAGAAGATTTTTTGGTTCTTCATCTGTCTGACCTGATTAGGATGGCATTTATGGCAGCTACATCAGAAAGTGACCCTTTAAGGTTGGAAGGATTAAGAGCATTGCAGGTATGCTATGCATGTATTAATATTGACAATTGATAAACCTCAGACTAGTAAATGGCTCTTGCTATGGAAGCCGAAGAGGACGATGGTAGTTTTGGATACCTTGTAAGTTACTCAGGTTAGTCTTTATGAAATAGACCCTGAGTTAGGTTTTTTAAGGAGGAAAAAATTATGTAGTTTTATGTAATAGAGTTACATCTAAGGTTTGGAATTGAAATTGTGATAAGAATAATTTCTGAAAATTTAAATGTGAAGAACGCTAATAATCGTGAAGACTACAAGTAAACTTTCAAGCTTTTTGTACCAACTCTTGTTTTACGAATTGAACTACTATTAGCACTAGATTAAAATGGAGGGTAGATAAGATGGTCTTTGCATTATTTTGAGTTTATAATTTTTTTTTAAATATCAAACTAAAATTGCATTCAAACTTCTTTTGTAGTATTTAGCCCCCCTCAGTGGCACAGCGGTATATCTGCGGACTTACAACGCTAAAATCTGGGTTTCGATACCCGTGGTGGGCAGAGCACAGACAGCCCATTGTGTAGCTTTGTGCTTAATTACAAACAAACCATTATGGTATTTACTTGTGCTTTTGGTTAGAGCAGCTTAATGTCTTTATTACCTGGCTAAATACACTTATAAGGCAAACATTGAACTATTTTAAAGGGATATATTAGATTATACATTGGATTGGATTTTTGCACAAAGTGTACTGTTTTCACTAAATAATGTTCTCTTATTGTCTAATTTCTTTGGTGGTAAAATTATGTTTTTAACTTGTTTTTATAGTTAATTATTGACAAGTTTTCCAAAGTTCCTGAACCAGAATTTCCAGGTCATGTAATCTTGGAACAGTATCAAGCTCAGGTAAGATCACATCATATTTCTGGTTGTGTGTTATCTTGTCTTGCAAGAAATTAATTGTTTTATCAAGTAAAGAACATGAATCATCTAATAATTAGGTAGAATCTTCTTTGATTATCATTAATTTGTGATCAAAGCAAGCAGCTTACATGGATTAGAACTAAACATTAACCCAGTAATTATTATAAGTAATTTAATGTGCTAGTTTAACTAGGAGTTCACAGTGTCATAAAAACTTTTTGTATTTAAAATGCTTTACTTCACAAGTAGGGGCATCTTTGCTACTATCATTATTTTTGGCCATCTTTCAAGTAATATCATGAGGTTTGTGTAGCTTAAGAGATTTAGTTTAGACCTAAATCCATTTATTAAGCTAATAAACCAGTAGCTCAGCAGTATGTATCATAGGCACAGCACAGATAGCCTATTGTGTAGCTTTGCACTTAAGAACAAGTAAACAAAAGAATAATGCAAGATATATATATATATTTAAATAAATACTGCTAATGAAACTAAAACTGAATAATGGAATATATCTCATTTTTAAAAAACCATCACAGATTCCCTGTTACCTGAAAAGCTGATAAATGTACACACAAAGTTTTATATAATCCTTCCTAACAATGTATAGTGACCAATGGACACCCACTAAATAACTCCAGTGTGACATTAGAGAAGCTATTTGATATAATTGACTACAACACATTACTGTATAACTGTAGGACTGGATAGTGGGATGATACAGATAGTACAGCAAAAACCTAATGTTTATGAAGTTGATAAAATAACACATGAAATGAATCACAAGATCATGCAACAAACATTAAAAAGGAAAATGATTTACTAAACATACAATGAGATGCAACTAGCTCAACTTGAAATATCCTATTACACACATGATCAGTTTACAGGGTGGGCAACCGGAAGTAGCGAATAAGATGATATTGTACAAATGCTATTTAATAGTTAACTTAATTAGAAGTGTACATTAACTAGTTTCAAGGTTAAATTGTGAATGATATAAATTTAAGTTTGTCAACTTTGTTGATATTTAAAGATTTCAAATTGAACAAAGTTGATGAATAAAATTAAACATTTGCCATCAGTTATTGAACATATTTATTTTAAATATGTCTCCTAAATGTTTTCTTGATGAAAAGAAAGTTTCTGTTATGAACAGTTAGAAAATGATAAGCATTCAATGAGAAATGTATAGCTCTTGTAATTATAACTATTTTATTACAGGTTGGGGCTGCTCTTCGACCAGCATTCTCACCAGAAACACCTTCTCATGTTACTGCTATGGCTTGTCAGGTGATTAATTAAGTTCACATTGTATTCCTTAAGGTGTGTGTGTGTATAATGCTTCTTGTCTTGTTTATTAGGATATGTTAGCCTCTAAGGAGTCGTGTAGTTGTTGGTGATGTAGTTATTCTTGAATGAAGACATCTTCACTTCTCCTGTTGACCATTGATGACAACACTGTAGAAAATGTTGGTTATATCTAAACGAAACGATTAAAAGTTGTGAGGCTTCTACGTTTTTATATATTAATCTATATAGTGTTTTTGTAAGGATTTCAATAAAGGTCTTTACAGTGTTATGTGGACTGACATTTTTAGATTGGAATCTTTTGTATAGTTTTCCATAAAGGTCTTTACAGTGTTATATGGACTGACATTTTTAGATTGGAATCTTTTGTGAAGTTTTCCATAAAGGTCTTTACAGTGTTATATGGACTGACATTTTTAGATTGGAATCTTTTGTGAAGTTTTCCATAAAGGTCTTTACAGTGTTATATGGACTGACATTTTTAGATTGGAATCTTTTGACTCTGAACTTGTACTTTTTTCAGGTGTGTAGTGCCTGGATTGGAAGTGGTGTGGCACGAGACTTGAACGATCTTCGACGCGTTCACCAGCTCTTGGTGTCATCTCTGAACAAGCTTCATAAAGGGACCAGCTCTCACCTGTACAATGAGAGTGCTTCTACTCTAGAGAAGCTGGCAATATTGAAAGCATGGTCTGAGGTAAACAGAAGAACTTTACTTCAGAAAATAGTAGTGTTTCTGTTTGTTGTATCTACTATATGGTGAAGTCATGTATTACCTAACTGGGTGTCTCTTATTTTATTCAAATTATTTTTGTAGTATGACCATGTTTTTCAGCATTATGTTCTATTCTTTTGCACAGTCTGAAAACATTTTCCCCACTTTTGTTACATTTAAATCTTCAGTTTGTTCTTTTTGATTGAATATTAAAGGATGTTTTTACTTGTAGGCATAACAGGATTTATATAGAAATACAGTAACAAAGATATAATTATCATTTATATAATGCTACTATGAGCACGAAATCGTGAGGGTTTAGTTTTTATCATCTGATCTGCAGTACTTGCTTCGTAGTTGAAACATTTTACACATGTTCTGAATCATCACTTGTATAAGGTAGCAAGTTTAAAATTATTTTCTACTTTGTGTCGACCTTTTTTTAGGGACTGAGAACAACACTGGGGCTAAGAGGGTACCAAGAGCACACTTTCTTAGGAATTTCACAATTTAAGTAAAAAAATAGTAATTCTAACTATATTTAAATACTTTTTTGACTTAAAAATATCTAAGAATTAATATTTTGTAACTTTTCAAAATTTGTTTAGTGTAACTTACAAATAAAAATGTTTTTATTTGGATCTCCGTGCAGTAAGCTGTAAATAAAACCCCTTACACATCTTGTTTTAGGATTTTTCTCTCCATATAAAAGTATATGTTTGTATGTACCCAGATCCTGGCATCCTTTACAAATAGATTAATCCATGGTTTGTTTCTCACATGACTTTTAATTTTCTCTCAGTGACTATTTTCAAGAAACTGTGTAGAGTGGCTTTTAAGATACAATAGCAAGTGAGTTAGGCAGTAACTAATAAATGTTAGCCTCCAACCAAGATAGAACCAATGGTTAAACATGATTGTATAGAAGAAATTTTTGAGTATCAATGTTAGACCTAATTAAATATATATATCAATAATATTTTAAAGAATCTAGTTTTATTTATTTATTTTTGTATTTTTAATAGTTACTTTCTTCATATGTAAATGCTTGTATGAAAAGATAGGAAAATGAGTATTCCATTATGAGGACAACACAGGCACAATAATTTTAGTTTTATTGTAAAACTATTCAACACATTTACATGATTTTGGGCATACAATAAAAAATTCAAATATTTTTTCAGTTTTTTTTTTTAAACTGTTTCAAAACAAAATTTTCACAACTTACAATCTAGAATGTGATACAGATACTAAATTAGACTGTATAATTGTTTCAAGCACAAACTATATACAATATAGAAAGAATGCACCAAGTTTCATACAATTAGAGTGAGCATTTTATGTGTAAAAAAGAGAAAAAACACAGAGGTAACACAACGTCACCCTGTAGTCTGATAACAACAACAAAACAAACAAAGGTAACACAACGTCACCCTGTAGTCTGATAACAACAACAAAACAGAGGTAACACAATGTCACCCTGCAGTCTGATAACAACAACAAAACAAACAGAGGTAACACAATGTCACCCTGCAGTCTGATAACAACAACAAAACAAACAAAGGTAACACAACATCACCCTGTAGTCTGATAACAACAACAAAACAAACAGAGGTAACACAACATCACCCTGTAGTCTGATAACAACAACAAAACAAACAGAGGTAACACAATGTCACCCTGCAGTCTGATAGCAACAACAAAACAAACAGAGGTAACACATCACCCTGCAGTCTGATAGCACCAACAAAACAGAGGTAACACATCACCCTGTAGTCTGATAGCAATAACAAAACAAACGGAGGTAACACAATGTCACCCTGCAGTCTGATAGCAACAACAAAACAAACAAAGGTAACACAACATCATCCTACAGTCTGATAGCAACAACAAAACAAACAAAGGTAACACAACATCACCCTGTAGTCTGATAGCACCAACAAAACAAACAAAGGTAACACAACATCATCCTACAGTCTGATAGCACCAACAAAACAAACAAAGGTAACACAACATCATCCTACAGTCTAATAGGGAATGCATAATAAATTATATAAATTATCATTATAATCTTGTTAAAACTAACACAGGTTATAAGATTAACTGTCAGTTTTTCTAAACAGAATGTTATGATTCTGATTTTTGGAATAAGAGGGGGGGGGGGATCAGGAGTCATGTATCATGAATAAATTGTTTTAATTGTATACCAGTTTTCTATAGTTGCAACCATTGTAATATAATGAATTACAAAGTATGACTTACAAATTTATAGATTTTTGGAATAAGAGGGGAGGATCAGGAGACATGTATCATGAATAAGTTGTTTTAATTGTATACCAGTTTTCTATAGTTGGAACCATTGTAATATAATGAATTACAAAGTATGACTTACAATTATATAGATTTTTTTTATTCATGCCGAAAAATCACATACACTTTCAACAGCAAAGTTAAGTTTTCTCAGTTAAACCAGCTTTAAAATGTATAAGTGTTTCTACAGTCGGTTTTGTGTGTGTGCACATATAACACTTTGAGTTTAATTTCCTGTTTTTGGCACTATATTTTCATATTGAATTTTAATATGGTTAGCAGCTGCTGGTTCATAAAAGATCTTATGAGTATTTTTTTGAACATTTTGGGAAAATTAAGCTAATCATTTGAACATTGTCTGATAAAACAAAATAAAATAACTACAGCTGTGGATTTGGTGAGAAAGATTACCTCTAAGTAAGTTTATTTAAAACAAAATAAAATAACTCTACAGCCATGGATTTGGTGAGAAAGATTACCTCTAAGTAATTTTATTTAAAACAAAATAAAATAGCTCTACAGCTGTGGATTTGGTGAGAAAGATTACCTCTAAGTAATTTTATTTAAAACAAAATAATATAACTCTACAGCTGTGGATTTGGTGAGAAAGATTACATCTAAATAATTTTATTTAAAACAAAATAAAATAGCTCTACAGCCATGGATTTGATGAGAAAGATTACCTCTAAGTAATTTTATTTAAAACAAAATAATATAACTCTACAGCTGTGGATTTGGTGAGAAAGATTACATCTAAATAAGTTTACTTAAAACAAAATAAAATAGCTGTACAGCCATGGATTTGGTGAGAAAGATTACCTCTAAATAAGTTTACTTAAAACAAAATAAAATAGCCGTACAGCCATGGATTTGGTGAGAAAGATTACCTCTAAATAAGTTTACT